TTATCTTCAATGATAACTAATAAAGTAAATAAATAAATAAAGAAATAAATTTGTGGGAAATCGCGAGGATGACTATGACCTTGCAACAAATATAATAAACGGAATAAAACCAAAAATAGTATCAAACATTTTTTTTTAGAATAAAAGAAATTAATGGAGGAGTGTTTGAACGTGGTTCATAATAAAATATATGATCAAATATTAAATGGAAATAAAAAAAAATTCATTAGAAATTTTTAATTAAGTCAACCAAAAAACAGATTATGATTTAGAAATAAATAAAACATGTAATATAAAAATAATCCTTAGAGCTGCAGAACATTTACAAGTAAAGTTTATAAATTCTTTTCTGATATTTGATTGGGACGAGCAATTCTTCTCTTATGAAAAATCAAGTGTTAACTTATGTCTAAAATAATTAAGCTAATATCTATTTATCTTATTTCCTTTTGTCCCATCAGTGATTTAACTTGACTTTCTACTGGTAGTAACTCTCTTTTTAGACAATGGACAATCTCAATCGCATTCCGTTTACCTCGTTACCGATAATGCTCAACAACATTATTGGTGGATTATACGTCAATTCCCAAATGAATACGCAAGAGTAATACGTCGTCAATTTAAAGTTAGTGAAATGCGACAATCTTGATTATTTAGCAAAGTAATTATATCAAGATAAAGTGGATCACATTTATTCTAAGTGTCCTCATGAATCTGGTTGTAAACTTTGCATAATCGTTTTGAAACGACCTAACGATCTGGCTTTTGTTTGGTTGGTTCGATTACATTAATTGTTATTTTCATTTAGTTTCTAAAAAAAAAATATTCCATTCTAATAAAGTTACGTTTTATTTCATTGAATTTAGTTTACAGTAACGACGAGTTACCGTAGAATTTAATATTCATAATTATTCATCATTATTCTTTTATTTTATTTTTTGATCATAATTTTTTTCTAAAGGTGATAAAAGAGGAGAAATTATTTAAATGCTAACAAACTCCAGAATTAAACTAAATTATTTGATAAAGGCTTTCTTTACACGAATTTACGTACAACGAAAAGAAAAGAATTTAGCCAAAGAATTCATTTTGTAAAAATAAAATCGACATCCATGCGCCAAAAAACATAGCATTTCTCCGACAAATAATGACAGCTATTATGTTGACTTATTTCTTGAGGAATGATAGGTTCATTATTTCTAAAGTTAACTGTATATAATTAATATTAGAATATTGAAATATATTTGAATATGTGAAATTATTTAGATATTGAATTGATTTTGAATATAAAGCCATTTTGGATATCAAATCATAGTAAGACAACCATTATATATTTAGAAAATAAAAGTTTTTAAGTATTTATTTTATCTTTAAATTATTTTTTTTTGAAATTTGGTTGATAAATTTTTAAATAGACTTTTAACTGGTTTTTTTGTTAAGAGTAAAGATGATTTAAAAAAATTTTTGAAAAAAATATATAAAATTAGTTTAACTTGTGATTTTTATTAAAGTTACAGCATATATAATATAAGAAGCAATATGTTGAATATCTATATACTGATAAAGTTATTAA